TGTGCATGCACCCGTTCGTGCATGCACCCACATGTGCATGTACCCAGACATGACCGCACCCATGTATGCATGCACCCGTTCATGCATGCACCCACATGTGTGTGTACCCAGTCATGCCTGCACCCATGCACACCCGTTCATGCACACACACATGTGCATGTATCCAGACATGACTGCACCCATGTATGCATGCACCCGTTCATGCATGCACACACGTGTGCGTGTATCCAGACATGCCTGCACCCATGCATGTGCGCGCCCATTCATGCATGCACACACACGTGCATGTACCCAGACATGACTGCACCCATGCACGCACGCACCCGTTCATGCATGCACCCACGCGTGCATGTACCCAGACATGCCTGCGCCCATGCACGCGCGCACCCGTTCATGCATGCACACACATGTGCATGTACCCAGACATGATATAGTATCTGTCTGGGAAAACAGGACCAGGAGGAAAGAAACCTTGCAAGTTCATGATCCTGGAATGTATTGCATGTGGGTATGGCTTTTATGCATGCTTCTGTCAACTTCTGATAAATTTTAATGAGCGTGGATAGCTTTGATAATGAAGAAATGTGTTAAAGATCTCTTATCCTACCCAAAGACACTTCAATGTTTAACTCTGAGAATGGGACTTTATTTCATACCATCGAGAATCCCAAGATCATTACTGGCCTTTCACCGAGTGTTTTTTTTTTTTTTTTTTTGAGTGACACATAATTTAACAAGAGGAGGTAGGGACTGAAAAACAATAAAACAGGTAAAGTCGTCGGTGTATACTAGATGGCCGTATTAGATGATACCACACAGCCTGTCAGTTCCCTTTCCACACTGACTCCTGTCTCACTGAATGTTGTTTCCCTTTGGCTCAGGAGGCAAGCCATATGGAATTTGCAAAACAAAACAAAAAAAAAATTCATCTAAAAAATTTCATTTGTGTGGTAAGAAAGGAGTGAAAATGTTGTCAAAGTATTTGTGGGCTTTTGATATGATTGTTCTTCAAAAAGACTTCTAGAATTTTAGGATCATTGCTGACTAGGAAAATAACCGTCTTGGTTGGGTAACCATTCCGAAGTCTCAGTCTGACCATCAGGGGGCAGAAATGAGGTCATGCTTGGGGGCCTCCGTCCTCCATCGGGTAGCTGATCACATGGGTGTCTGTGTGGTGTCACCTGTTTGGGCATCTGGCTCAGTCATTTCCTGCTGCTTCTTCTTTTCATCCTCATCAAACTGGGCTTCTATCTCTGCTGGGTTGACGTAGGTGTAGAATCGAGCCATGATGGCGAATATCACGCAGACCACCAGAAGCAATGAAGCAAACAGAATGTACTCGGCCCACTGGAGCAAGTGGAGTTGGGACAAGAGAAGAAAACCAGAACCCACCGGTTATCACAATGCACCTGGTTCACATCCATTTTCTTGCTTTGCTCCAATGGAAGGTGTGTGGATAGGAAACTGGCAGGAACTGGGGGCTGCTCTCAGGCAGAATGGCCCATCACTGCCCCACACAGAAGGGCCAACCTTCCTTGAATGCTCAAGTATAAAGGGAATATTTCTTCTAGTAGCAGGAAGATGCAGAAGTGCCAGATTCAGGCAGATAAGTGAGAGAACATTCCTGACACTCAAGTTCCAGCATGCAGCTGGTCCCTGGGAGGACTGCGGACAAAAGGAGCCAGCAAATATTCTCGAAGGAAAACAATGTGCTGGATGGTTTGAAGTTAAGACTCACATGTTATCCTATGGCAAAACTGATCCCATGAGCACCCAGTTTTGATGGGATCCCTTGGACGGGGTGAAGGACAACTCCCTTGGGAGGTGGTCAGTTGAAGGAGAGTGTTTTAGAGTCATAAAATCCCTCATTTTACTTTAGCTAGAGTGGTGATAACCACCCTTCGAATGGTTTGAATAGGTACCCTGGAACTTTCTGGATCACATGTCTAGCTTGGGGCCATGAAGCTACATGCATGGAAGCTCGGTGAGCTCTATTCTTTGGTGGTGACCACATTAAGGAGTTGGTATGTTCGCCCAGTCTGGTTATTGTGGTTGTCCATTTCTCTCTATAAGACTAAACTGGAATAAGAATCTGGACATACTTGGCCTTAAGACCATTTGGTGACTGCCCAACCTGTGAGGCCTGGCTGTCAGCTGAGATGGCCATGCGTAGCCTGACAGCCAGTGAGGCCACCACAGTGATGACCAGATGAGCCGGGGCCTGTGCAACCTCCTTTTCACTCGTACCTGCTCACTGATCTGGCCTGCTCCCGCCACGATCAGCACGATGATGTTGCCGACAGCCACGGTAAACAGCCACCCGGCTTGAAGCACTGACTTCATGTTAGAAGGAGCCTGAGGAAGCGAGAGACACAGAGAATCCCAATCTAGATCTCAGCTTGGGGCAGGAGTCCACACCTCGTGATGCAGCTTATTCAGAGACCACCCGCAAGAGCACGTAACTTCTCAGGCTGGATTAAAGATCTGAAGGGTGGTTTTCGGGCTACTGGGACCCCGGAGTCATGTGTGGGAGAGCATACAGGCTCCACATATTTGCAGAGCTGCTATCTTCGTGAACTCGACCTACAGATGAACTGATTCTATTTCTCCCACAAGAGTTTCCAAGGAAATCAACCCAACCAACCACGCTCCCCGGCCCCCAAGTGGGGGCTCTTCTCTGGCTAGAAGCTCACCCTCTGTGGCCTTCCCTGTCACATCACCAAAACCTCTCTTCAAAGCTCTGTCCTTGTAGTCGCATCCTTCAGTGGACTGAGAGGTAGCCATGAGTGGGATGGTGTCCCTCAGTTATAAGCTTCACTGGAAAACTCGGAGGTCCTGGACATTGTGGGAATGCGGGGATGCTAATTTGATAAAATAACGGGAGATCCAGGGAGACCTCAACTGAGCCCTCGTGATCACGAGGACACTGGGATTGAGCGCTGTGCTGGACAGTCCACGCCCTGGGTTATTCCAGAATCTAGACTCCACTCCCCATTCTTCCCTGGTTAACAATCATCAATAGTTTTTCCTGCTCAGGACACTAACGCTCCCCTGTACGGCCGATACAGACTCCACTAAACACAGTAATATTCTCAGGACAAGACTCAGAAACCTGGCTTGCTCAGACACCATAACGCTTTCTGTAAGTTTTTAAAACTATAAATACATGACTATCCCCCACCCCCACCCCCATCTAAATGAAGTCCCCAGCAGCATTTTCTGAAGTCGGGAATAGAGGAGAGGTTATAAAGGCAACAAACGAGAGACCTGAGAATAAGAGAACTCCAATCCGGTGACGGAGAAAACCACCTCGCCACAGGTGAGCAGGAAATACTGCGGGATCTGCAGCAGGATGCTCACTTGGTTGGGGTGCATATCTTGCAGTTCTTGCAGCTCAGGGCAGTTGTCACTCTAGACCAATAAAGCCAATGTGAGAAGAAGAAATGGAAGTCAAGACTCTTCTAGATAGGCAAACTGAGCCGGGACTTCAAGAATCACAGCCTGTGATTTTTCTTAGGAGTTTTTCCTTTAATTTATGCATACAAGAACTGGGGTGTAGGTCAGTGGTGTGGGGGTGAGGGGATTCACCAGAGACAGAGTGGGGAGCAGAACAGGTGGGTCTACTGAAATACACTGCTGAGGGGAGCAGCAGGGAGACAGGAGAGATCTGCCGCGCCATGTGGGTCAGCTCCTGGCGGGGGATAGAACTCAGGCTGCAGGGGCTGCAGACAGCTTCATAGTGCTGAGACTTAGCCACTGCGCTACCAGGGAGGCCCATATCCTGTGTCTGAACAAGAGCACACAAATATGCAATGTCACATTTCTGCTGGCGGAGAGCGGCCTTGGTAGGTTGTGAAACATGCCCACTTATATTTTCCTCTTAAATAAGAGAGCAGGCAGCACGTCAGATTCCCTTACAGCCTTGCCACCCCAGGCTGTTCAATTTTATTCTTCTGGTGAATTTCCATCAATGACAACTTTAAAGCATCAGTGGTGAACAGCATGAATTCTAAGCCTGTTTCAATGTAGGCTTTAATTTTACTCTAGCTAAATCATGAGACTATCAGCATTTGGGGGAGCGGGGACTCATGTCAACACAACTTGAGTAGAACTTCAGATCAACAATGACAGAAAGAGCCACCAACCTTCCGTTTGATGACGTAGGTATACGCACTACCGTATTCAAAGTTGACAGTTTTGAGATCATTATCATTGCAGTTTGACGGAATCCCTGTGTAGTTTATTTTGATGTATTTACTATGAAAAGAAAGAAGAAAGAGTGTGAACATTCTTGGCAGGAAAAACTTCAATCTATCATTTAAAGACTTGAGATCCTTGCACTTGGGAGCGGTGTCTAATAGTGATACTTACACACCAGAGCGGAAAAATTTATACTCGCTGATACTGTAACTGCTGATATTAGCAAAAACTTCTTTCTCCACTGTGGCATGCACGTTCACAGCTAAAGTATTTACAAATCTGAAACAGAAAACCATACGTCTTGTGACTGGATGACAGGATGGTTCACGCTCAGCCACAACAAAATGCACCTGACCTTGAGTCAGGCTCCTTTCAGAAGGACTTGAAGATGTTTACAGATTTCTCCATTGTCAACGCAGAGTGAGGCCCTCCCTGGTGGCGCAGCGGGTTAAAGCACAGCACTAACAAGCCTAAGCCACTTCCGCAGGAGTTCGACCCCCACCTGCCCCGGAGGAGATCCACATGGCGTGGCAGACCTCTCCTGACCCGCCCGCTGCTCCCCTCAGCAGTGTACTTCGTCCATCTGCCTGTTCTGCTCCCCACTCTGTCTCTGGTGAATCCTCTCACCCTCCACATCTCCAGACTGTACCCCAGTTCTGTATGAATAAATAACTCTTTGAAAAAAAAAAACACACAGAGTGAGCAAGTCTGGGTCTGACCCATCACCCACTCAGGAGAGCACACAGGAAAGGATTTATCCAAGCAACACAGGAACCCAACGCTTTCATTTTGATAGGAATCCTACTAAACGCCTCGATCACGTGAGGGAGAATTCATGTCTTTCCTGAATTAAGTCTTGCAATCATGGAACACAGCGTGTCTCTCCATCGCCTCGCTCTTTGATTCTTCATAAGCCTTTTGCTGTCTGCGGCCTTCAAATCCCACATGTGTTTTGTTGGCCTTACAACTTGTATTTCACCTCTTTTCGAGCTATAGTAACTGGCGTGGTGTTAAAATGTCAGTTTCCAATCATCCTCTGCTAGTACACAGACATAGGGCAGGTACCATACTGTTGGCCTTCTGCTCTGTGGCCTTTCCAAACTCACTCTTTTGGTCAAGTTCTTGCAACTTTCTCTGCAGACAATAGTGTCATCTGTGAGTGGGATAATTATTTTTCGTTCCTTCCAAGCTAGATGCTGTGACTTTCTGGGTGTGGTTTCATTGCATCCAGGACATGGAATAGCAGAAGAGAGAGTGGGTAATCTTGTCTTGCTCCTGATCTTAGGGGAAACACATTTAGACTTTCATCATTGAGTATAGTTCAGTTTGGGTTTTCCTAGATTCCATTTTCAAAGTAGGGGAGTTCCCTTAGCTTTTTAGTTTGCTGGGAGTTTTTATCATGAAGAGATGCTGAATTTTACAGCAAGTGCTGTTTGTACCTCAGTGGGTATGATGCTATGAATTTTCCTCTTAAGCGTACCTAGATGATGGATTTACATTGATTCCTTATTTTTTAATATCGAACCACTCATCCATTCTTGGACTATCCCTCCTATGATCATTTTATTTTCTTGTTGCAGTTGGATACTACTCTGGGGATGAGTTACCTCTGTAAGAAGTGGATGTAACCTGAGTTTTAAAGAAATAAACAAACCTGATTCCATTTTTTCCATCTGGTGGCTTGCTGTTAAGGCCATCCTTTACCTTTGAAAAGAAAAAACATTTCAAGATTAAATGGTTAGTGTGAGTTCAGATAAACACTTGGCTCTGAGGACCTCGATGCTGATGTTTACCCCAGAGCCGAGGCCATAATGATGATATCTGAAGGGCATCGCCCTTTGGGCCTGGCTGTTCCTGAGGTTAAAATGAGCTCTTGTCACTGGTTACACGTGCAGTTCAGGGATCCCACAGAGTGCTGATCTCCAAGAACTTAGAAGAAGCTACTCAACAGCTCCCCAATTATCACAGAGCCCCCAAGTCTTCATCCCATGTTGTAGCTGTTCAGAAGCTCACTTCAATTCACTTTGCAGACTTCTACCTACTCCTTCACTTAGTCCACAGCATCTTTCCAGGCTGAATGATTTCTAGATACCTATACACGTATCTAAATATGCTTTGCTCTCGCTCACTCTCTATTTTTAGAGAACTGCTCTAACTTTCCAATGACTCATTGAAAATATTTAAATGAATTCAATTAAAAATACATTTAAAATTTTATCTCAAAAAGTTCCTGAAGGTACACAGGTATACTTTCTGTATCTTTCAACAGCTTGTACACACACACACACACACACACACACACACACATAACCAAATCACACCAGACCCACATGTTCTTTTAAATTTTTCCTTTTTAATGAAAATGACAAGCTTTCCCTCTTTCAACCAAACTTTTATTAGCAGACAAATGATTTGTGTCATTGAGTTGAAGAAGGAAATAATTGAGGGTTATCTAATATAATACCACACAGGCGTAAAAACAAAGTCACACCCCCTAGAAGGTCCAGCATCACAAACAAGAGTCCACTTACCATTTTGTAGCGACTGGTGTTCCCTAGTAGAAGAGTGTGGCGCTGACCTTTTGTAAGATTAGTGATTGGGATTTCAGTGGGTGGCCACAGATCGGAAGAGACAGTGATACTTGTCAATTTGTCTGCGTCAAAAGTCAGATATTCATCTGTCTACAACGAGGGGAAGAGATCACAGTCAGGGCCGGAGTCTCATTCAGCACCGAGCCACCAACATACCGTGGATCGCAGATTGCCACTTCAAATTCCCACTCATTTCCATAAAAAATGCCTTCAGGGGACCTGGCTTTCGTCTGTCTCAGTTTCTCCCCATTGGGCTGACATAAGGTTTAGGACACCTTGGGAATGATACTTTCCATATGGCATTTCACTTGCACTTCATTTTATGAGTAGATGCCATGGGAATCATTTTCCCACTGGGAAAGCGGCACTCCTGCTGGAAATCAACACCCAGCACATGTGTTTGGCCCGCTCTATGGGTGTGGCTCTTGGTGGTGGCTGGCCAGGAATGAGGCCAGGTCCGAAATCTCTGGGTTGGAGACCCAAGTACCAGAATTTTCAAAGCTCCCTGGGTGATTCAAACAGGGCTCAGGCCAATGGCCGTTATAGTAGCTTTGCCAACCTTAGTGCTACTGACATTTGAGACCAGATGATTCTCTGTTGTGGGGGCATTGGGCTTCTAAATAAGATCCCAACAGCACAGTCCCAGTTATCTCCAGGAAAATGTTTCCAGAGGTTGCCAAGTGTCTGCTGAGGTACAATGTCGCCCCTGGTGGAGAGCCCCAGCCCCAGAACCTGGTTATCTAAAGCCAGGTGAGCAGTGGCACCTGTTAAACAGGCAACATCTCAGACCCACATTGGTCAGACCTACTGATCAATAATCTGCATTTTACAAGCTTCGCAGGTGACTGTGTGTGCCGCAGGGCGGAGGCCCAGGGGCCAAGCCGTGGCTCACACACAGGCCAGCATGCTGAGCCTTCCCTGGTGGGCTCATCCTGGGACCCATCTCAGGGTTAGGGAGATCATTTCTCCAAATTCTGTTACAACTCAGGCCAGAAGATGGAGAAGGAGGCTGCATTTCCTTCTACTTACTTGAGAATTGTTTTTAACCAGCACACTCATCTGAGAGAAAGTCACGTTTATTGGGTGGTTCTCCACATTCAACACCTTGATTTGGTATTGGTTGGGCTGGGCGAAGACGGGAAGGGTTTTCTGAGCAAAATAAAAGAAGATTGGTGTGAGGGCTTTGGTACATATTGGAAACACTCTTCAACATGGCGCCGGTCACTTCACCAAGCCCTCGGCCTGGGCTTGCGCCAAACAGGCAGCTTCTGATGGTTCAACTCAGGGTAAGAAGATGATGGTTGTGCAGAGCACAGAGGTGACATGAAAGCAGCTGCTCCAGGCCAAAGGATGCCAGGTGCTGATGCCCTAGTATCTGCCCCCTGATACCTGAGGGTCAGCATAGCTGCCAGCTCCACACTGCCCTCCCCCAGCACTGTGCCCTGGAACCCAGGAAGCCCCTTGCTCAGCCCTGCCCACAGGGCTCAAGCCACCCTCTCACAGTCGCTTTATGGCCTCCTGTCTCTGCCCTTTCTCTGGGTCTGCCTGGCCCTACGATGTGTGCTCAGAGGTCCAGGACCTGGACACCACGGATGAGAGCTAGTGCTCAGTGGGGAGAGAGGCTCGGCTCTGCAAGGTGAAAAGCATCATCTTGACAGAACAAATTAAGAGGTGAGAGTGAGAAACAGAGAGAGTGACACAGGGGGGTTGAGGGGCCAAGAGGAAGGGGAGAGAGAGGTGGGGGAGAGAAGGAGGCAAATGGAAGAAGAGGGAGGAGGAGGAGGAAGAAAGAGGCAGAGACAGGGAGGGAGAGAGCCAGAGGGAGTAGCTCCCTGGGTCTCGTCCTGATCTAGGAGATAGGGCCTTGGGGCCAACAGATTAGCTCGGGGACTCAGCACCCCTCGAGACATTAGAACACAAATGGCACCTTCCAAAGACAAGTCACACATTTGAAGTGCTGCCTATTTGTGAGTGTGAACTTCTGGAACAAGATTGCCTATGGGCTAGATAAGGAACAAGTTCCAGAAACTGCCCTCCCCTTACAAAAACTGAATCCCGATGGCAGGCCGGCCGCACTGGCTGGGCCTTTGCAGAGCAAGCTGTGCTCCAGGAGCAGAGCACATCACCACAGCTCAGGACTCAGGCTCCCCACCAAGAACGGTGCTCCCTTAGCTCTCTCAGCCCCAGGCTCTGAACACTGCGGCTGAGCCCTAGGGAAGAACCCTGGAGAATGGGAAGGCCACTCACGTCGACTTCCATCTGCACAAACGCGGTGGCCACAAACGCCATGGACGCCAGGAACATCCCCACAACCATCTTCCTCAAAGGGCTGACGGGACAAGAGAGAGCGTGAGTGGCAGCCAGCCTCACACCAGCCAGACGACTCCCCCGAGGCAGTCCAGTCCCACCCCCAAGGCTATGTCCCCCCAACAGGTGGATAAAAAGCAGTTTTGCCTCTGATTCCTGACCCAGGCTTGGAAGGTTAAAGGGGACACAGGTTCTCATTCGCAGTTTTAGGTTTAATTTTGAGAAATTACGGTTCGAGCGATACGTTGATCCCATGTCACGTTTCTATCATCAGCGATGAGAGAGCCTCCTTTAGAGGCGTTTGCAAGAGGCCATAATAACAATTTCTTCAAGGGCAAATTTTCAGAAACTTGGCACAGAGACATGGAATTCGACTACAGTCTTTAAAATCCCCCCAGGAGGGGGTGCAGGGGAGAGGGATGAGACACGGAGGGGCGGGCGGTGCGCCCTGCCGTGCGCTAGACCCCCCAAGTCAGACCCTGACCCCAGCCGCGGTCAGCGGTCACTTACGTGAAATTGAAGCATTTGGCGATGAGAGGGTAGACCACAGCATCCACGATGGGGACCATGATCACGATGAGGACGGCGTTGGCAGTCTGCGGAGAAGCGAGATGCCTGTCAACGTGGTCTCAAGCCCACCTGCACCTCTGACAGCCACCGAAGTATTTTCTCCTACCTGCATTTGGTCCGGCTGGATTTCAATGCTTCCCTAGAAAGAGGAGGAAAATCTCAATGATGTTTCCGCAGATGGTCAATGGGGCTGGAGGAGGGGAGGAAAGGGAAGGAGAGAAAGCGCAGAAGGGTTAAAGGCAGGGACAGAGACCAGGGAAGCCAGGTACCTGGAGTCCGAACTTACGATTTTCCCACTCATGGTAGTTGCTTGCAGTGTCCACCTTGAGCCCTTGAACACAAACAAGTTGGCGGCATCACTTGGGATGTGGGCTTTATTTATTTATTTATTTAAAAGATGTATATGGGCCCTCCCTGGTGGCGCAGCGGGTTAAAGCACAGCACTGAGAATCTGAAGCCACTTGCGCATGAGTTCGATTCCCGCCTGCCGCCTGCCCCGGAGGAGACCACATGGCGCGGCAGACCTCTCCTGGCCCGCCCGCTGCTTCCCTCAGCAGTGTACTTCGTCGATCTGCCTGTTCTGCTCCCCACTCTGTCTCTGGTGAAGCCTCTCACCGTCCCTGAGCCTCTGGCCTGTACCCCAGTTCTGTATGAATAAATAAATAAATCTTTAAAAAAAAAAAAAATAAAAAAAAAAAAAATAAAAGATGTATATGTATTCATGTACGCGGAACTGGGGTACAGGCCAGAGATGCGGAGGGTGAGAGGATTCACCAGAGACAGAGTGGGGAGCAAAACAGGCCGACTGACGAAGCCCACTGCTGAGGGGAGCAGCAGGCGGGTCAGGAGCGGTCTGCCACGCCATGTGGTCACCTCCGGGGCTGGAGATTGAACTGGCACTGAAGCAGCTGCAGCCGGCTTCAACCCACTGCACCACTAGGGAGGGTCCAACCACGAGTTTTAAACATGTTACAAGTTAATGTTGAGACTTTTCCAAATCTGGAATGTGTTCTGACTCACCTGGGGCTTTAAACATTTTGCAAACATCAGTTTAACTTCCCGACCCCACCACCAGGTCGGGTTAAACCACGCACTTGCGGCCCTCCCTGGTGGCGCAGCGGGTTAAAGCGCAGCACTGAGAATCTGAAGCCACTTCCGCATGAGTTCGATTCCCACCTGCTGCCTGCCCCGGAGGAGACCACATGGCGCGGCAGACCTCTCCTGGCCCGCCCGCTGCTTCCCTCAGCAGTGTACTTCGTCGATCTGCCTGTTCTGCTCCCCACTCTGTCTCTGGTGAAGCCTCTCACCGCCCCTGAGCCTCTGGCCTGTACCCCAGTTCTGTATGAATAAATAAATAAATCTTTAAAAAAAAAAAAAACCACGCACTTGCATTTCTGCTCGACACATGAATCCAATGAACTACACTTCCCCCAGGAAGCAAACTACAAATTGCCTCTCCGAGATAAAGTTAACCATATGAAATACGAAAAAAGAAAAAAAAAAGCATTCTAGAATCACCGATGTCACCTGCACGGGGACAGCAGCTTCTCCTGCAGACAGTCTATTTCTCTGGCATCAGAATTTCCAGAACATTAACTTTGTTAAGAGCCATTCAACAGCCCAGTATGTCCTAACATGGAATTTTATCAAAGGGCATTGGGTAGCCCAGCTCTGCTCATCCTATTTTAGGGTAAAAAAATGATGCAGCACAGTCAGATGTGAATGATTATTCTATGGGGTCTAAACATGAGCCATCACCCCCAGAGGGGGATGTCGTAAGTCACGAAATATGGTGCCCAGTACGTTCTTAATCGATATCAGTCACCAGTCTCTTTACAGGGCTCCATGCCTGTGTCCTCACAGGTGTGTCTGGGTTATAACCCTTTCTGGGGGATTAAGGGATTGCCCCAGGCCACCCAGCTAAAAGGTGATGATTGTATTTCCAGCGGAAGTCTGTTCCAATAGGCAGATCCCAGTCATTATTCCAAACTGCTTCCCTACTCCTTATGATGCTGTTCTAAATCCCCTACTTACCGGGCCCTCCCTGGTGGCACAACAGGTTAAAGCTGGCACTATGAGGCTGTCCACAGCCACTGCAGCATGAGTTCGATCTCCAGCCAGGGAGCTGACCCACAGGGCCTGGCAGACCTCTCCTGGTGCCCGCCCGCTGCTCCCCTCAACAGTGTATTTCAGGAGATCTGTCTGTTCTGCTCCCCACTCTGTCTCTGGTGAGTCCTCTCACCCCTCCCCACTTCTGGTCTATACCCCAGTTCTCGAATGCATAAATAAATAAATCTTTAAAAAGGTTAAAAATAAATTCCCTACTTACAAAGGAGGCCTGGGTGTGCTCACTGCCCCCAAGAAATGGCTACCTGGTAATAATCCTTCCTACACCATAAAATCTCATGTTTGTCCATTTGTCTTAAAAGTCCAGTTTCCAGATAAAAAAGATGTGGTCCATATATACAATGGAATATTACTCAGCAACCAAAAAAGAGAAACACATGTCTTTTGCAGCAACTTGGATGGAGCTGGAAAAGATCATGCTTAGTGAGATAAGCCAGAGAGAAAGAAAAATACCGGATGGTTTCACTCATAGCAGGAGTATAATGGACCAGGAGAGAAAAATAACAAAAATAATGAACAACCATATACCAGAGACATTTTGTGGGGGTGGAGTGGGGAGTGGGATCAAAAACAGGGGGCGGGGGGGAGGGTAGGGAAATGCACGGGATTATGGTGATGGCACACGGGTGACTTGGTGATGGGAAACCCGCGGGGATTACAATTGAGATGGAAAAAAAAAACGTACAAAATGATGTAAAAATAAACTTTTGTAAAATTAAGAAAAAAAAAGTCCAGTTTCCAAAAGAAACCATATCTCTCGCTACTGACTCTACTGCATTCGGCTTTCCAACCTTATGTTAAAAAATTCCAGGGCACGCTCTGTGGACCACAAGCCCCAGCTGGCGCTGGCTTCCCACTGGAGGGGCACAGGTCTAGCAGTGTGACTCGGGCTCCTGGCGGACTCCTAGCACCTTCCAGTAGAGTAGAAGGTCGAATCCCTTTTGGCGTAAAGGTCCTGCGGACCCCGGAGGGAATCATGCAGCCACCTGCCAGCATGTGCCAGTGGGAAGACGAGCTCCACCTTCGCAGTTTTGACTGGCAAGAGTCCTGGCTACTTGGGTGGAATCTTGCCCAAGGCTCTTTCCTTGGCTCAACCTCACTGTTTGCAACAGAAATGTGGAGAGAACCATCTAGAGTGATTTTTATTTTTGAAAGAACTCAATGGTCCAACAATGATCAAGTGAATGAAATATAAAAAAGACACCCGGAAGAACATTTTTAGGAGTGAAATGCTAAGCGGGGTTTGAAGACATACAGACACAAAGGTTGACATTACCTGCTGATCAAATAAGGCCCAGAACATCGGGAGTGGGATGTACAGGAACAGCACCCTGGTCACCATCTTAATTTGAGAGATGAGCCGCGCCTGCGGTTGGGGCGGGAGAGGACAGGTCAGCCCCACCGAGCCCAGCGGTCAGTAGGAGCGCAGACACAAAGCCTCAAGAGACAAGCTAGGGCTGTCTCAACACCCACCACCGGTCTCTTTGGATAACCCCCGCATTGTGGACTGTTTAAAATACGAGTAAAAACTTTGGCAAGTTGAAAGGTAATTCCACTTGGTGTGTGTTCCACCACCACACCCCTCTCTTGAAACTACTTCTGTGATCACAATCACATATAATCAACGGCAGGTGTCTCCAAATGAAAACCCGAGAAAGGGTAATATTGCTTCCAGAGAAGTCACGCCCGCGGTTCATCAAGTTAGAAAACATTTGGACAGAGAGTAATTTAAAAGGACACAGGTGAGTTTGGCCATGTAGCCCTCGTAGAACGTCTCAGGGATGTCGTTGGACAGACGTCCCCTTTCTCCAGGAAGGTCAGTGGTCTGTGGAGAGGCCGCGGTCACTTACGTCGTATTTCTCCTTGGCCCAGTCCAGCCAGTGCTCCCTCTTGGGAAATTCCTTACTCCGATGTCGGAACCTGTTTTTGATGGCAAACTGAAGGAAGGAAGAAAGACATCGAATTTTGAAACAGAACTCACTATCTTGAAAACACATTTCAATGGAAAACGACATTTGCGGGAGAGAAGCAAAAGATAAAGCTGTCTGTGCTGGAGTAATGGTGTTACGAGGCTGCTCTGCGTTGGTTTCTCCTACTCTCTAACTACGAGTGTTGAGTTGGGTGAACAGAGTCCCACTGTCAGGCCTTACACCCCACAACCTCTAGCAGGGAGACCTTTGTAGAATTACAAAGGTAATTCTACTGAAAAGCCAAAGAGGTGAAATTCATTTGAAACACTTTTTATGTAACCTAACAAACCTCATAAATGATCTTAATGTGCAATCAATATTTAAAAACTAATAAGTTTTTTCAAAATTCAGAGTATATTTTACACTTACGACACATCTCAATTTGGATGCTTTTTTTTTTTCCCAGAAATATTCCCTCTTTATTTTTCATAAAATTTATACTTGGAAAAAACCCAGATTTACAAACCTAAGTTATCCCAAACTTACTGAAAATTTCTTCAATAACTGTACTGAGTTACAGCCTGAAAATTCAAGAGAATTCACTCCATGATATGTATGAGGGAAATCACATAATTAAAATTAAGTGAACTTCAATTAAAAATTCTGTTCCCCAGTCGCACTTATCACATTTCAAATGTTCAAGAGCCACTTGTGACCAGCGGCGACCCTCGAAGACAGGTGTAAAGTACAAGTATCGTCACTGCACATGGATAGCGAGCTGGACTGCAAAGAACTACATTCAGACTTCAGACAGAAGTGAAAGTTGCAATGAAATACAAGTGGAAACGACCCACTCATCGTAACTTCAGAGGCTCTTCAGGGTCCTGGTGAGTGAGAGCGACTCAGGAAAAGCCACGTGCCTTTACCTGGCATGGCAGTGAGACGGGTCAGGGGGCCCAGCCGGTGACCACAAGCAATAACTCAAAGCTGTGGGCGGATCGCAGGGCGCTGGGCAATGCCCTGCTTATGGCGGTAAATCCCCTGCAGCTGTTCTTCAGGAATTTGAAAGCAGCTGCCAGTTACTCGTCAAGGAAGAACTTGGAGAGAGAATTCTTAGCTGGCAAAAACGTTTTGGTGGGAACCTGTCTGATGCAGAGGAAAGGGCAGGAGGAAAAGGGGAGGCTGTAGGGGAAGAGAACGTTTGTGACCCCCTGAGGATATGCTTATTTCATGAAATAACTACACGTGTCTCATCAACGCAGCAGGTCAGGCCAGGGGCAGGGAACACCGGCAGTCAACTTCGCAGCTGAGGGCATGAGAGCAAAGTCTCAAGGAAAGTCAAAGCCTCACTGCCATACTCACCCCGATGCACTTGACCACTTTGGCCATGATGTTCCCCTGGGGCTGGAGCTTCCTGTACATGCGGCTGCCCAGAACAAAGACAACTGGAGAGAGAAAAATGGGGTGTCAGCACGGCGCCAGCAGGGGCACCCCGGAGGACCTGGCTGGTGTGCTTTCGCTGGTGTTACCCTTCTTAGGGGCGTCCTGGGCCGCTCACAGGATGGGTTTGCCCACCCACCGCGCACACCCCTCTCTAAGGGAGACAGGAGGAGGAGGACACGCTTTCGCCCGCGCGTTCAAGCCACGCGATAGTGTGCAGGAGGAAAAGCGCAACTGATTTGCTGGCTGTAATGTAAAGAGAAAGTTTCTTCTTTTTTCTAAACCATTAGAAAAAATAACAGCTAATCTGTTTACTTACTCACATGTATTAATTTAGTGCAAATATACAAAATACCTATAAACAGGCCCTCCCTGGTGGCGCAGCGGGTTAAAGCACAGCACTGAGAATCTAAAGCCGCTTCCACATGTATGAGTTCGATTCCCGCCTGCCCCTGAGGTGACCACATGGCGCGGCAGACCTCTCCTGACCCGCCAGCTGCTCCCCTCAGCAGTGTACTCGGTCGATCTGCCTGTTCTACTCCCCGCTCCGTCTCTGGTGAAGCCTCTCACCGCCCCTGAGCCTCTGGCCTGTACCCCAGTTCTGTATGCACCAATAAATAAATCTTAAAAAAAAAAAACATATGGTGGTGGCACAGGGGTGATTTGGTGATGGGAAACCAGTGGGGATTACAATTGAGATGAAAAAAAAATGTGCAAAATGATGTAAAAATAAACTTTTTAATAAAAAAAAATCCAAAAAAAACCCTATAAACAGACATTTATAAATGGAAATATAAATTTATGTCTAAACAAACGTTCATAAATTTATATAGACATCCATATACATATAAATATATTTATGAATTTGTTTTGTCATCAAGGTGTAGACGTATAATTATTGACATCTAGAGTTGTACAATGAGGCAATTTTTCTGCCGGCCTCCTTAGGAGAGGTGTACTGTGGATAACTTGGAAAAACTGCCCTAGTGTAAGACAATGGAAACTCCCTATGTGAGGATTTATCTGTTTTTGGAGGTTACCTAATTCCACGACCCAATAACTTAAAAACACTGGATGTATCAGACTCTACTTGTTTCCCTTGGCTTAAGAGGGTCTGAGATTTTGATAGGTGTTAGCCCTTCAGAAGATGTCTGCATTATAGCTGTTCTTAAGAGTGGAAGAAAGAAGTTTATTTTCTCAGTGTTAACTCTCCTCCATCCAGACGTGATGGCAAAGATGACAAAGATGACTTACTCAAAAGATTGCATCTGCATTTGTTTGATAACTCAGTATTATAGTCTTTAAGATTCTATTTAACTGACACCTGCTTAACTCTTTCGAGCATCAGATGGTTGCAGGTAGAAATTTCCAGAGGTGGTATCAATGCATATGATTTTGGCCTTTTCTCCATTCCCTCACAAGAAGAAAAAATACTATTTGATGTAAGAATGGCATACACAGAATAAATGAGAATTTACCTAATATCAATCTAATCCAGTGTTCTGATATAAAACAATAGATTTGAAATCTTTTCCATTTCATTGGCCAAAATTAGAGAGCAAACAGCACTATTTCTAGTGGGAAGTGGCACTATTTAAATAATTATGGAAGAAAAATGGATGTATCAAAAGGGGAGAATACTGAGCTCTCACTTAATTCGAAGAGTAAAGATAAACTGCTTTAATGTGAGCAAAAGAGGTTCAAAAGGTACAGACCTGATGCCATAAAGAACTGAGAAAAACATCAGGGAAAGTGCCTGGTGCCAGCGGATTGCTATCTCACCTGGGTGTGAAAGAGCTATGAAGGCCTGGGATGGTTGCTGGACTCTGCTCTTTGCCTGCAGGTAGAGGCTGAATTGTGTCCCCACCCACACCTAAGGTGTTAAAGTCCTCATCTCGGTCCCTCAGAACGTGACCTTAGTGGAAATAGAGTCTTTGCAGATGATCAAATTAAGATGAGGTCATTAGAGCAGCCCTATCACAATATAACTGGTGTCCTTATAAAAGAGGAGCTCTGATAAAAGACCGGGGGGTGGGGGGGAAATCATAGCCATGAACTATATATCAGAGACATTTTATGGGAGTGGAGTGCGGAATGGGATCAAAAACAGTGTGTGGAGGGGAAGTGCACTGGCTATGGTGACGGCACAGGGTGATTTGGTGATGGGAAGCCACAGGGATTACGAGTGAGATGAAAAAAGGCACAAATGATATAAAAATAAACTATTATAATAATTTTAAAAAAAAAAAGAGGAGGTCTGGACACAGGTGTGCCGCTGGGCGAAGGCCACAGGAAGACTGGAGTCCTGCTGTGCTAAGCCAGGGAGCTACCAGAAGTAGGAAGGAAGCCGGAAGGCACCTTGCCTGATGTCTTGTGGCTGGGGGGTGGGAGTGGGCCGCTGCTGGGGGACGCAGCCTGCTGACATGCTGATCCCCAGAATGGGGATATAACAACTAAATTTCTGTTGTGTAAACCACTCAATCCATGGTATTTTGGGATGGCAGGAAACTGAGATACCTACTTTCCTTTAAGCTAGATGATCTCATGTAGAAAACTCCAGATACTTCTTAAAGTACTAATACCCAGAAGTGCAAACAAATGCAAGCAATACACAAATACTCCTCCCAGCAGGAAGGCGTTTTAGTAGACGCCCTTGGAGATGAGACCCCTTGGAGATGAGACCCCTTGGAGATGAGACCCCTTGGAGATGAGACCGCTATAGAAATCTAGATGACCAGGAGGGTAGCTGACAGCAGGCCCAGGTTGTGTGCCTCAAGCAAGCTGCAGAGAAGCACATATTGATAATAAAGCTGTCTGCCACCCGCTCCTCTAGTCCAGCAGATTCTATCACCTTCATCTTCATCTGCTAAACAGAACCAAACTCTTAAGTGTCGAACAACTATTCCAGTAAACTCTCTTTTTGTTCCTATTCCCTCTGAGACAACAGATCAACTCTACAGTCTTTGAATCCTCAGAACACATTGAATATGGAATGGCAATTTTCATACTACTTATTACAGTTTGTTAGAGGCTTTCCAGAAAATCGGTCTCGATGATTACCATGAGGGCCTCCCCTGTTGGAGGCTCAACTGGTTGCTACTTACTCAGAGCAACAGCCATGAGTGCGGCAGGAACCCCGAAAGCCAGTGGGTAACAAGACTCTTGACCACCACATTTTTGAACTGGGGAGAAAGTGGAGATTAAAATTCACCATGGGCATGAGCGATATTTACATGGCCCCCATTTTTAAACAATCGCTAGCTGGTTACTATGTACTGCTTTTACCTAATGTTCTAGACTTGTCCCTTTGCCTTATTGATGTCCTTGCCAAACGAGCCAAGTATTTAGGTAGTCAGAAGCGGGCCGTGCAGACAGGTCTAATCTTGGCCCCTGAGTAGGGGTCTCCTACTGGTTGAGCCAAAACCAGTGGGAGCCGGTGTTCTGTGGACTCCCTAGTGGGGAGATCTAAGGGACCTGGATACATGAACTTGAAGGTGGTGGAATTTAGTAAAGGAAATCAAAAGTGCCGTGGGAAACGACCACTGTATGTCAATGCCGATAAGAAAACAAGTAACCCAAGGCAGGAGTTAACTAACCTTTCTGTGACTCGTAAGATACTACATATTTGAGGTTTATGGGCCATTGTAGAGCTGGATGGTCCTGCTCAGATATTCGGATTTGGCCCATGAGTAAGCATCTACTTTTGCTCTGGAATCCTGGGATTGGTAAGGGGAAAAGCTAAGATTCTGGAAGGGAGACAGAAATGACTAGAAAAGCTTTCAAAGGCATGCTGGAGCCTTCAGAATAACCTGAGCCTTCAGAAGATTTGATTTTGTCTTTGATTACTTGCTGCATACGTCTACAGAGAACTGGGTAGGAAATGGACTGTCATACAAATAATGCAAATATTTTCTCTTAGTAGTTGTATAAGTGGCTCATGGCAATGCAAAATAATTTTTTTCCTTGCAAGGAATATAAATCTGTCAATCAATCCTCATTTATGCTGATGGTAGTGGCCTTCCAGGTCCCTCCTAAGTTCATGCCATGTGAAGTCATTATATGCTCATTTTATACTTGTATGAGAATCATGATTTTACCTTTAAAAATGATCCCTTAACACATTATCTACTTCAAACGCATACTACAGATTCTAGAAGCTGGCGGGAGGGAGAGGGCGGAAAGAGAGAGGGTATCTACAATAATAGAAGCTTCTAAATTTTTAGACCAAACAAGCAGGAACGCATATTAAACTTATGCTCTTTGAAGAAATATATAAATACCCAGAAAATATTTTTTTAATTTAGTCAGATTTGCACTGTGGACACCATGATCTTGCTTTAGTCTAATTTGTTCCCAAACACTCCCTTTCACATGGGAATTTCAAAAACTAGAGAGCTGTTGATAGTTGCTGTCTCATTCGCTTTCCTGGAACATTTCTGAAATATTGTTGATGACAGGAAAGCAAAGACTAAAAACCTTGCCCTTTAAGTTGTTCCTCACCCCTGCACCTCATTGGCAGCAAAGCCGGACAAGGGAAGGTCACTGGCAGTCCACCAGCCTGGGTCCCTACCAGCCTCTTTTGACTTTTGACTTTGACTAGTACAAAGTCCTGCGTTAGAAAACTGCACTGTGATGCTGAGGTGTTCGCGATCCTTGAGGAGTCACTGGGATAAGTGACTCAAACATGATCAGGAAAGGAAATGAAAGAAACTCATGTTCTGAACTTCAAGGTGAGCACCAGCACTGACCTGCTCATCGAAGCGGAAAGAAATAGACAAGATGGACAAAACTTCCACTATCTCTCCACAAGTGGAACCCTGAACCCCCCAGAAACATCATGAGATAGGGTTACCTCTGAGCATTGGGGTGATGATAGTGGAGAGCAAACTCCCAGCATTGATCGCCAAATAAAAGATGGAAAAGAATCTGTTTCTTTGCTTTTCCTGTAATCAAAAGGATAAAGTTTCAGTAGGATGACAATGGTTCTATAGCTGCTGATCAAATGTAGTGGTCATCTGACTCTATCCCTGGATCTGGATAATGAGGGACTTTTTTTCTTTTAGATTGATTTATTTATGCACACAGAACTGGGGTACAGGCCAGAGGTGCAGAGGTGGGTGAGAGGCTCCAGCAGAGACAGAGTGGGGAGCAGAACAGGCAAATGGATGAAGTACACCGCTGAGGGGAGCTTTGGGGAGACAGCAGAGGTCTGCTGCCGGGGAGTGGGGAGAGCTGTCAACAATCCGGCTGCACTTTTTAAGAAAGAATGGAGCGCAGATTCCATCGGGGAATTGCATTACCTGGCCCTCTTCGAACTGGTCTCCGCCGAATGCTGACACACAGGGCTTTATTCCTCCCGTTCCCAGTGCTATCAGGGCCAGGCCAATCATGGACAGCGCCCTAGGGACAGAAAGGGGGTGACTGCCCTAGCCATAACCTTAAAGGCAGGAGCCTCTCTTTTCCTTTAATTTCCTTCAGGGACGAGTGAGGCACAGGGGTGGCATGAGCAGATAATTCACAAGAATCTAGTCCTTAACTCTTGCTGTTGTTATTTAATCAAATTCCATCCGTGTTCTACTGCTTTTACACCCTAAGGAAGCGATGTACCTGGCCCAGGAGCTAATCCAGCCATCGCATGTACACACCACCCATTGCATTTAGATGTCATGCAGATTTGCAGCTTTAGAAAAGGTATTTGAAGTTGCTTTTTATTTGATAGTGACCTTTGACTTTGTGTTTTCTTTTTCTTGCTATTGTCACCAGGAGCTTGCTGTTGAAGGTTTTCTAAGGAATATGTCTTCACCAGTTGAATGACATTTGAACTGATAGCCCTTAAATTCATACATTTTTTTTGTAATTTTTAAAAAATTCATACCTTTATCTAATGATTTAACATCTAGATTTATGATTAGTTTAGAATGGCTTCATGAGATGGTTAAGCTTTGTCTTGTGTTGGATTCATCACAGTTACTACTAGTCACTGGAAAACATTATTTAATGCAAAACAGAATATCTGGTTATAGAGCATGATCTTAATTAGTTTATAGTTTCCAGGTGACTAGAAAAAAGTACAGCAAAGGATTTATTATAGCCTTCAATAATCGCTAAAAGAATTATCAACAATAATAAAAAGGATTCCCGGTGATTTACATGTATTTGTTTTATGATTTCCAAGTTAGCTGTGTTTTATATGCTGAATTGAAAGAAGTTACTGATAGACACACCAGTCCTCATTTTGTAGTTTCATTAGATTTCTAGTAGGCACTCCAGATTTCAGGTTGTAAATGTATTTCTTTGCATATCTTTATGGTTGCTACTGTCACTAAAAATACTTTAAAAGGTATTTTATGAAACAGCTAAAGTTACAGAGAAAGAATTCCTTAAAAATCACCTTTTGGATTAACTGGCTGCTTTCACTGTGTTTGCCTCTAACATGGATACAGCAAGTTTTCAGAGAAACCAGAAGGCACGCAAGGGTGGAGAGAGGCTTATTCATCACTCTGAGGGCTCAGTGGGACAGCTCCCGAAAGATTGAGCCCTGAATAGCAGGAATGGTGAGGCTCCACCCGCTTGGTCTGCAGGAGCACAGCTGGTCATGTAGGGTCTGTGGGAGTTTAGCAGGGACTTCTCAGGTTGTCTGAGTAGGGGTCATGATAACCTCGACCGTTACTGCGGGCGAGTGTTCATCAGTCCTCAGCGACTTCCTGCTGCAAGGTAACTTGGGTTTAGCATTTTTACTCTTAACTATTTTAAAAAATAACAAAAATGTGGCCAGTGAATGTTGTACTCCACATGCTCTTATGAGAATTTCAGGCCTGTTCCAGGATGAACTCCATGAAGTGAAATACACATCTCAGCTCTCTTGTACAGTTCCTGCTTGCCAGGCCAGGTCTTAGGCACTCTGGATGAAATAATGCCCAGCAGACTGAGATGAAGTAACATTGTTAAAAATGAGGAAACTGGGCATAGAGGTTAAGAAACGTGCTCAAGATTACACAACTAGAAGGGTCAGAATTTGAACCCACACCACCTGGCTCAACACACTGCCTGGCTCTAAAGTCCACGTTCTTAATCGATAGTATAAATTAGTGACCCGAGACGTGGAGAAGATAAATGGCCCAGGGTCACAGGGCTGGGCCGTGGTGGGGCTGGGCCGGATGCCGCCTCCTGGGCTGCTGGACTGTGTCTGGCTCCCGCCCCCATCAGCAGCCTCCTTGGGCACCCAGGTGTGTCTCGTCAAGGGACCTAGGCTGGACATGGTGTGACTAACAAACCAGAAATACAGGGATTGCAGATATTAATTTGCATTTCAATTCTATTTCCCAGCCCACAAGATGCCTGACTAATTGATCAAGGAACAGAAGCACAAGGACAGGAAATAAATCTCGACAATTTGTCTACCAGCGCAGATGGCTGTGAAGGGAAATGAACCTCACAGAGGATTTTCACAGCATTTTCCATCAAGAACTCTGAACACAGGGCGGGAATAAATGTCTATGAAGCTGAATGACTGAAAATTAAGTAGAAGAATGGTACAAAACAGGACAGGGTCTTGACTAAGGTCTGAAGACCTTAGTAACCGCTTAAGAATCCAGCGTGAGTTGCATTCTGCTAGGGAAGCTCAAGTCTCCCTGAACGTTCTGTGCACCCAAGTGAGATGCCCCCAAGATGGAAATGAGTCTGGGCAATGGCGAGACTGGTAACAAGCCGAAGACCGACCCCTCAGTCAACCAAATAGCTTCCTCAGTATTGCTGGTGAGAGAGAAAAGGCCTCCTGGCATTTATGGTGAAATTGCAGCAGAAACAATTAAAAATGAAAGCTGTGGAGGGAAGGGGGTGGATGATTGTCAGCCCAACTCACACATGCAGGGGCAGGTTATCAGGGGCGCCATCGCTGTTGGTGTCGGAGAGCTCAGAAATGGAGCTGACTGCAGTCACCACCTGTCCGATTGTGTAGACGATGGAGAGCGACACAATGGTCCTGTGTTCAAAGGGGTTCAGAGAATCCAGATTAGGCGCATAATTGTGATCCACTCCCTGCCCCACCACAAAACGGCTCCCTGCTTCTGACTTTCCAGGCATGAAGATACTTGCTTTTCAAACTCGAGTAAAACTCATAAGTCTTCAAAGGGCCACGTTCTGGAGAACGTGCACCTAGCAGGCAGGTGTAGAGCAGTCTTCGCTGGAGGTGCCAGGAAAAGGCAAAAGACCCTCTTTATCTTTGATCCGAGTTGACCTTGAACTACAGTTGACCTTGAACTACATTTGACCTTTATTTTGCTGCTTCTTTGTTATGGACACAAGAACTGTCCATCTGGAGTGATGATGAAACTTGTTCTCGAGTTATCTTTTCATCATCGGTGTCTGGGATTAGAACCGGTGTAACATCTAAGGTACAGATAAGGCAGTACTGAGAGAGGTGCTGATGGGAGATTCACCTTGTCAAGGAACAATGTCAACTGAGAGCAGCAAGGGGAATACTGCCCCGTGCTGCAAATGTATGTCCTCCTCCTTATGGCTTTGTTTTTAAGGTTTATTTATTTATGCACACAGAACTGGGGTACAGACCAGAGGTGCAGGGGTGATGAGAGGATGCACCAGGGACAGGGCAGGGAGCAGAACAGGCAGATGGATAAAGTCCACTGCTGAGGGGAGCAGCGGCAGGTCAGGAGAGGTCTGCCCCGCCATGTGGATCACTTCTGGGGCAGGCGGGGATCGAACTCATGCAGAAGTGGCTATAGCTAGCTTGCAGTGCTGAGCTTTAACCTGGTGCACCACCAGGGAGGGCTCCCTTAGGGTTTTCTTGACACTTCTTTTCTCTGCTGACTATATGATCCGAATACAGTAGATAATACGTGTAACACACAAAGTAGGTGCTACTCAGCTCTATGGAACTGGCAAGGCTTCAGTCACCAGCAGGTAGGTAGTTGCTACCTTGTGGGGTCCACAGCGGCTCTCCCGCCCACCTGTGGCCTCTCCCAGGCCCGCTCCCTTTGCAAAGCAGCAGCGGCAGCCCGCTCCCAAGGCTGCCGGCCTGCGACCATGCTGGGGTTTCTTCGGACAGCCCCGCCCCTTCCAGGGGCTGCTGCTCCTGCCCGCTTGTGTCTGTGAGGCGTCCTTGGTGTCCCCTTCCCTTTTCATTATAAACGCGCCCTCTTGAGTATTAAAAAACAGTTGAAGGAGTCAAAAGGGGTGCTGGGATTTTGCATGCCATCAGTGCCCCCACCCCATGCTGTCCAAGGGCCCCTGTACTTGAAAGACTCAGTGTTTTCTCAAACTGCTGGAGTTAATGCTATGTCCTTGCACGGCGAGGACGCTTACCTTGCGCCTGGTGACGATACTGAACCAGGAACAGACCCACTGGTTATTTCTGTGTCATGTTGAATATTTTTGAGACGCTCAGTGATTATGCCTGCTTCTGCCTTTCCCGCTTTGGCAGGACGGAAACTTTTGTTCCTCCTTCACCAAGTCCTAGGATCCCTGGCCGTCCCTACGCCTCATGCCCTGGGGTCTCTCCCCAAGAACCAGGTAAGCCACCCCTCACCAAGGTGCCCCTTCCAGTAGGGGTCTGCTTGTTCTCCCAGCCCTTAGCTCTGCCCTGGCAGACACCTCTGGTAGTGACCCCTGACTGGTCCACTGTGTCCCTGCTACGGTCTCAAGATGAGACAAAGATGAAGTCGGCAGGATGAAAACAGTCCTCCCAGAGGGCCTCAGCCCACTACCGTGGCCCCAGGCAGGCCTGTGCGGAGTCTGAGACAGGCAGGCGGGCGCAGGCAGCTGCTCTCCTAGGGGGTCACTGCACCTTCAGGCGGCTGCTCTCCTAGGGGGTCACTGCACCTTCAGGCGGCTGCTCTCCTAGGGGGTCACTGCACCTTCATTCCTTGCCCCCCTCCGCCAGCTTCTACCACCAAGCAGGGGCCGCCTCTGCCCGCTGTGAAGCAGACAGTTGCAACTACTCACTTGAACTTGCCCAGCCAGGAGTCGGCAATAATGGCCCCGAGAATGGGTGTCAGGTAGCACAGGGCCACGAAGGTGTGGTACACGGCGGTGCCCACGTTGTCGCTCCAGAGGAAGAAGTACCGGAAGTACAGCGTCAGGATTGCTTTCCGCAGAGGGCAGGTGGGAGAGGAGGGGCAGATGAGGACAGGGCCCCCCAAAGCCACTGCCGCGGGAGGGCAGGGCCGTGGGGGTGGGGGGGAGCGTGGGGGGGCGGTTACCTTTCATGCCATAGTAGGAAAATCTTTCGCAGAACTCATTGATGACGATGAAGAAGATGCTCACGGGGTAGCCCAAGCAGGTCTGCCAGAGAGGAAGTCTCGGGTTGAGATGTGCCGACACGGAAGGGTGACCGTGGGCATCTGGGAGCTGGGAGCCGCTGCCCGGGGGCGCAGGGGGCGGGCTGAGGGCGCCTGCCTCTCATGCCCTTCCTCTCCACACAGGGACATACCAAGCCGCGAGTTTCAGTGCTAGGCTCAGCGGGACCACACACAGGCAGCGCAGTACCCCCAGACTC